TCGTTATTGAACTCAGCATGCATTCAAAATAGTTTATCATTTTTTTTAACATTAATTTACCTTTTTTATTGAACATATATATATTTTAAAATTGGTAACATTGTCTTATAATTAGTTGTTCATATGGGCATCTTTATCTCATCCTGCTCTGCCTTACAGGAAAATGGGTGTATTAAAGAGAAACAGTTTATTTGTGAGTTCAACTATTGATATTTTTGTATATATTCAAAATAGTAAAAAGAATTTTTGATTCACAAAAAATAACTGCAATCAAGATTTGTGTGGAGAAAAAAAAATTGGAAAATCAAGTAACAATTTATGATTTTTTGTTTAAACATTCATTGAAATCCGATCGTTTTGGACTTGATACAATCTGAATTCTTATCTCGAGTTTTCGATGTGCTTTAATTTGAATGGTGTGGGGTGTGGGTGTGGGTGGGTGTGGATGTGGGTGGGTGTGGGTGTATGTGGGGTGGGTGTGGGTGTGTGGGTGTGAGTGGGTGTGCGTGTGCGTGTGAAAATAAGGCAATACCCACACCCCACCCACATCCTGACACCCACGCCCACAGCCACACCCACATCCATCCACACCCACACCCACAGCCACAGCCACGCCCCACAGCCACACCGACACCCACACCCACATCCACACCCACCCCACATCCACACCCGCCCACACCCACACCCGCCCACACCCACACCCACCCACACCTACACCCATCCACACCCACACCCACACCCACCCACACCCCACACCCACACCCTTTAGACGTGATTGTCAATTCATTTGAATATTTTGTTGGAAAATATCCTAATTGGAATATGATTATTACTCATTGGAAATATCATAAAGAAATAGGAGGTAGACAAAATAAATTGAATAGTGATTAGAAAATTAATACTATTGGGAGCGAAAGAGAAGTGTGAGATCGATATTTAATTGAATTAACAAATGAATATTTGAAAAAATAAATTTGTTGGTTATTTGAGAAACAAATAATTATTTTTTGCTTTTAGGAGAACATCTCATTTTACATACATTTAATTATCATCAAAACAGTTGCACAACAAATACAACTATTCCTATTATTAATTGTGAAACATTTCAAGTGCAATCGACATCAATAAAAAATGATCAGCATCTTTTTTATTCATTTATAGAAGATTTATGTTTATATTTGACAGATCAACAAGCAACTATTACTTGGTCTTCTCCTTTATTTCAACAAGTTAAAAGTCTTGCTATAGAAATGCCGATAATATCTGCATCATGGTGGAATAATTTATTGAATATTGGTAAGAATAATGTTTAGGGATGCAACGGTGACGATCATTCATCGGTATACCGTCACCGTTTCACCGGTCTAACTACGGTAACCGTAGGTACGGTTACCGGTCTATGTACGGTAACCGTAGGTACGGTTACCGGTCCATGTACGGTAACCGTACCTACGGTTACCGGTCCGACTACGGTAACCGTAGGTACGGTTACCGTACATAGATCGGTAACCGTACCTGCGGTTATCGGTCCATCTACGATAACCGTACCTACGGTTATCGTCACTGTTGCATCCCTAATAATGTTTGATTTTTATTTTATATGAGATAGATGAATTTTTCATACGAGAATTTTTTTGAAAAGTATTTTTATTGTTGTAGCAAATTATGGTGTCGTAAATGATGATAAGGATACACTAAAAATTATTCCGTATCTTAAACATTTTGTTGATCTACATGAAATAACTCAGATAAAATTTCTAAAAATGAGTCACATATCTTGATGGATGGATGTTCAACTTATTCTACAGTAAGTCTTTTTTTACATTTGCATAGAAAGATTTGTGTTGTATTATTGTCGAAACCAAGACTATCTGAAAATTGTAGCATTATATACTGTTTATTTTTGTTTTAGAGCATGTCAAAATGTAATCGATCTTTCAATAAGCACTCAATTATTGAGTTTATCAAAAATAATTGATAATCGATCTCTTTTCCCAGTTTTTAAACGAATAAAAAAGATTGAATTAATAAAAAATAGCGTTTATTTTCCCCCAAGTTCTGCATCAAAAATTGTTGAACGTTTTCCATCATTGAATAATATTGAACTTACAGTATTTTCATTCGATTATTGCGTATCTGTTATTGATATATTGCTTTGTCATTTGAAAGATTTGTCTTATGTAAAAATTAATTATGATCAAGCTACATTACTGGATGATCCTTTTTCATGTGATTATCTAATTGCAAAACGTCGTCAAATATTTCCTGATAATATTATTAATGAAAACAAAGTTGCTTTCAATAACACAGGAGAAACTGTAGAAATTTGGTTATCGTAATGTTTTCTGTTTATGATATTAGATTGTTGTGATTAAAAGTAAAACATAATCATAAAAGAAATATCTCCTTTAAGTGTTATATCTTTGATTTTAGCAACCAAATTTCTTATCAAAATATATATTGAAGATAAGAAACCTATCAATGAAACTTTGATTCATATTTTGGGTGTCTTCAAAACCAGATTGGAGAAAAACAAACTTGCTTTATCGTTTTAGACTATGAAGAGAAAAGTGTGAGGAATGTTTTAATGACAACAAGAGTATTTCTAATTATGAGAAGATGTGTCTGCTTTAGTGTTAAGGCTTTTCCTCCCCTCCTTCAAAAATGTCACATTTCGCGAGAATCATCCAAATTGAGATAAATAGATGGGAAAATAGCTCGTCATTTGCTCTTTCATATGCGACAAAAGCTTTTATTTGGTACCTCTTTTTTTTCAAAAAGGACCCTGCCGGTTTTTACTGAGTTACTCATTTGGAAAAACCAAATACAAAGTTTTGTAGAGTTCGAAAAGTTACATATAATGGTATATAAATCAAATTGCTTCCTATTCAATTTCAGGGATTTTTTCTACATGAAATGTCGAGGGGGTATTATCAAATATTCATACGCAACAATATTATTCTATCATATGAAAATAGTCCTTTGTTAGTCGTTATCAGAATATGATAGCAATTATTGTCTTACTTAGTTTTGTAGATCTTTTTTTCGCTCTACAATTTGGCTTATTTCATTATCTTGTTCTAAAGGAGAAAAAAAGGGTGTGGGTGTGAAGTGTGGGGTGTGGGTGGATGAGGGTGAGGGTGTGGTTTTGAGTGTGCCTCTTCTTTTCTATCACACTCACACCCACACCCCTATCTACAGAATAGCTGAGAATAAGATATTCTTGAAAGAATTTTTTTATATCAGGATATTGTTCTCCATTCATTATGGGAGTTTCATGAGCTTGATTTCGAATGAAATAATCAGCACCATGTTCAACTAAATATTTTACAATATTCAAATGATTATTATAACAAGCTCCATGAAGAGCTGTTGAAGCTGCTGTTGGCCGTAGAGTATAATCAGTAGCAGAAATATTTAATGCAAAACTAGCAGCACGTTGATTTTGAGCATTAACGAAGCAATGTGCTTCACAAATCAAATATTGAACAATATCTAAATGATTACTTCTAGCTGAATATAATAATGTTGTTTCCCATAATCCTGGTTTATCTTTATATGTTGGATATTCTTGTGACTAACAAAAACAGTAAAATGAATTGTGATATATAAAAACAGATCATCTTTTTCTGATCATCAAGATCCGAGATAGCGAGCAAAAAGCGAACGTATTTGTCCTGTGATGCCTGTTTACATACAATTTGTCATTGGTTCGTATGCTTGAGTATATCACACACGGTTTTATTAAATTTCGCAAGTTATGAAACTAGGGATTATTCCGTCAGTTTTGTGCAATGGTGCCATCTGTAATATGATAAATTGTTCACCAAAAAAGTCTTTGACATTTTGATGTTTTGTATATTTTCAAGCTTAGTTAGAGAGATAAAAATGCCAATAACGATCATTGAATCTTTTAATTAACTCAACATGTCTCATTAAGGCATCTATAAAGCATACATCTGATACTTGATAAAAGATATTAGAAAAAATATACTTGGGTTATTTCGTAAAGGATTGAGATTCTATACTTACTCCACATTATCTTTTTTCTTCAAAATTAAAATAATTATTTGATTAATTTTTCTTTCATATTTAATGAAGTATCGTACGATATTATTTTTTATAGTATTGAACTTTGAAGAGATGAAACTGATCTAAGCAATGTCGATAGCAGAATAAATGGAGGAGGTGAAAGTAAGACGGATATTTCGAGAACGGTAGTAGTTAAAAAGCTGCGGTTTTCAGCGTTCCAAAAAAGAGACATTTGACATGTAAGAAACTAATTCTTTCAATTGTATCTTGAACCAGAGATTTTAAGTTCGTCAATCAAAGTAACATACAACATCATCGAAACGATAAATCATTGCCATGAGTTTTTTTTTAGATGTTTTTCAAAGAAAGGATTTGTTTTTTCTACATTATCAGCGAGAAAGACATCCGGATATGTCCTCTTGTGACTGGTAAGCATTGTAGATCGCTAACTATTACTGTCAATGGTGGCTCAACTCGTCGAAATTGAGAGGGAGGAAAAGATCGTAAAAAGATATCTAATTAATTATTTGTTCTGTATGTTTCCTATGTAGACAATGCAGTTTGACAAATATTATCGCCTTACGGAAGAATACATAGTAAAAAGAACCCAAGTCAGCCCGTGCGCCATTAGTACGCGTACCGTGCGCGTCACACGTGCGCGTGACGTGCGAGACGCTCGGTACGCGCACGGATTGTCACGCGTACGTACGTGTGCGCGTACCATTAGCGACGTTCGCTTTTCCTTTTCTTTTACCATTGGTTCATTTATGAGAGACTTATTTTAATTTTCACAATTAAAAAAA